GGGGCTGGATGAGATCCTCAAAATCATCCCTAACCCTAACTAGTCTGTGATTCTTCTGTGAAGAAGCAATCCAATAACTTGGATAAAAGCAGAGGTACAATGCCCAACTGTAAACACCCTGAAAGAACTGACAAGAGACAAAGATGATTTAAGAACCATGTCAAAGAAATGTCACAGACCATTTCCTATGTAAACAAAATATAGCTACCAGTGTTGAAGTCTGAAACAAACAAAGATACTGTAGCACTCAGTCAACACCATCATCCATTATCATTAATATACAGCTTTCATTGTCACTATAACGATAAAATTTATGAAAGATCATAAAGTAATTGCAGTCCCTCCTCAGAAAAATGCTGTTAAATGCAATGTACCAGTATAAAAGGAGTAGGTAAAACTACAGAACCCTGTTCCTAAAAACAAGTATTCAAGGTCACACCCTGATATTAAATGCACCATTCTCTTCTGTAATAGAGCTGCTATGAAGCTGTTCTTTGAACCAGTCAAAGATTAAAAAATGTTCTTTGAATAAATGCTCTTTGCTCTCTTCTTTACACCTATGTCAAGATATGTAAAATAAACTTACAAGCAAAAAGGGGCAAGCAGTGCTAAAGTTTCACACATGTTCTTAATGATCAGCTCCACTACCTGCCTTTATAATTTTTACCTCCTCTTCTAAAAGCTTCATAAGTGTTTCACTGCCAGTGCCTATCAGCAGTTGACTAATAGTGGTGAATAAAATCTGTCATGTAGCATTTCATATATTATTTGTAGATTTGTTCCATTTTCCAGTACAAACATCACACAGAGCAAGTATTCTGAACGCAAAGAGAGTTGTCTGAATCAAGTGCTTTTGTATTTTGGGAAAAAGAAAACAAAAAAAGAAAAACCACAAGGAAAAGCATCCCATGATTTTCTCTCTAATGGCAAATTCATTTGTTTTCTAATAACAGGTGAAATGAACCATTAATGGAAAGTTGGATCAGAAGCTTTCCACCATTTATTTGATCAAAGATAATGAACATAAAGTAAATAGAAGACTAACATTTAGTACGACAGTTTAATGAAGACTTGGTCAAATGCACTTCCTTCTTATTCCCCATTTTAGTTTGTATCAGCGAGTCAAGCTTCAGTTTAATGTTTAAACACTTAAGCATTTAGTAGGAATTCATTCCTTTGGTCAATGTACCAAAATGATTTGATCATGATGTCAAAATGATTACAGTGGTATCATTAACTTTTTAATGGGAGTAGAAAATTCTATAAATTTAATCATTGTCTTCAAACAATGCATGGAAGAGTGAGCTGGAATAATCTCCTTCCAATCGTTGTCATGTAAAATATTTAATTTCCAGTTCTGCTTTGTCCCAGACAGGATCTTTGTCATTAAAATTAGAGCAGATTATGATATGTAATATATTTGGTGACATGTCAGGGTGGCACCACTTTGACCTTTTCAGTATTCCACATTTCATTTGGGAGCCTGTTTCTTCCCTTTTCTTCTATTACTGATCAAGAAATAGAAGTAGAACAGAGGGCCAATCAAACTGGAAATTAGAAACAAATGGTCAACATTATACTAAATAAGTACATTAAATTAATCTGTTTATTAAAATTCAGTAAAACCCTGGCCCTTTTTCACCTCTCCTTTAAAAAACAATACAAGTAACAAACCAAAGGAACAAACTTTCCTATTTATATTTTCAAGTCTGCTACCTCACGTGTCTTCTCATACACTAAAATTTTTTCAAAAATTAATATATCAATATATTTCACTCCCTTTTCCCAATTGTTTGCTTTTCATTAGCTGATCTTCACATTGATTTTACTTCCAGTTGTTGGCTACTTATCTTAAGCAGGACATAAAGTGCTCAGCAAGGAGCTGAGCTGTCCTGTACATTTGTATGCCAGCTGCACAGGAGACACATTGTCCCAATTAGGTTCTCTTAATGCACTGTTCATTAACACAGACCTGGCAAGTTTTGCTGTTGTGTGCTGTCTTATGCTATGTGATGATTTTTGCAAGCCTACACAGACTCTATAGTCAGATGCACTTCAGTTTCCACTTTAAAAGCATTTCCAGCCCTATGGCTCAGATGGAAAGTCTGAAGACAGTGGATAATAGGATCAGGCTGGAAGGGACAGTAAGAAATCGTCCATTGCACCCAGCCCCAAGCAAGAGCTAAGTACACTTACACAATCACTGGGCAGGTGTTTGCCTAATGCATTCTCATGGATCCTTATCAATGGAGGTTCCAAAATGTCCCCAACTAAGCTGATACAGTACTTAATGTCTGAAACATTACAAGGGGCTTTCTTCAAACCTAGACAGAATCATGCTAGAGATTATTAATTCCATTATTGCTGTTTACATATACTGTATTTGGATGAACAAGTGGTCCTCCACCTTCCTGCAAAAGCCTATTTGAAAACACTTTCCATCACCTCTTCTTTGTCAACTCTTCCTCAGTTGAACTAAGTCCCCCTGCTCAGCTATTCCCCACAAACCACATTTCTGAGATTTGTCCTTGCTCTTGCTTGCTTGAGGAGTTTCACTTTTTCTGAAGTGAGGGACAAAACCTGTACTGAGTCAAAATGACTTCCCACAACTGACAAAAATTGGAGGATTACTCAAATTATTTTACAGATGGCATGTTCCATTAAAAATCAGGAATATAGGTTATAATTTACTGTCATCACTGCATCATTTCTTAAAATAGTATTTTCTGACCATTCTGTTTGAATTCCTCGTTGCATAGATCCTTCTTGCCTTGTTGGTGTCTTAAATTTGTCCTTTTCCAGTTGTGTTTTCAGATTTGGACTCTAAGGTTTTCCTCTAGATACTCTCCTAGTCCTAGTCTTAGTCCTTCTGACCTTAAAGTAACCTCCAGATTTTACAGTAATCTTCATTCCAAGACCATCTGGGTTAAACATGAAGATATTGGATAGTACCTGATCCAGCTTAAACAACTGCCAAGTAACACACAACACATTCTTTCATTGCTAATGGCTCTCTGAGAAAACTTTCCTAAATAGGTCTGCATCCAGCCTATTTACACCTAGATCACAATTGCCAAATTTGTTCAGGAGAATATTATATGTGACAATTGAGATAACACTACAAAATTTGAGAGATGTGACACATCAATTGCTTTTTCTCCAGCTATAAGCTGTTATCCTGTCAAAGAAAATTATTAGATGGATTTGATACTATTTGTTCTTGACAATTCTGCACTGGTTATCCGTCATGTCCCTGTGGTTACATACAATTTACCTGATTGTTTACCTCAGTATTTTTCTAGGAAATAAAAATTGCTTGTCTGTCCTGCCTCCCTCTGCTTGCTTTCTTTAGAACCATTGCAGTCCCTGATACCCACAACAGCTGGTAAGTTGCTGGGGGCACAGAGGTTGCCAAAAACCAAGTGTTCTAATAGAAAACATATATCACAAGGGAAATAAAAATAAAAATCAAACCACTAATCATGACTTATTATGCTTTTTTGGTGTTACACAGATCTTATAATGTTTAATACACCTATTGATGATTTTAACAGCTTTGGATTCACAATCCTGTTAATAATATTTATCTTATTCATGTAAATTATTTATGAAATTACAATGGTCTTTTTTTATTCCATGATCAGTGGAGATCCAGCTGACCCAAACTTAAGCAATTGTGATTATAAGGAAATGAAAGTTTTTGCTTGCATTCATCTGAAGTTCTCTCATACTCCTGGAAATGGGAAACAGTAAAAAGTCCTGTATTTTATTTGTTTACTTTTAGAACTCAGAACTAGCTGTGTTGCAGATGGTTCCAAGAAAAAATTGTTTTTCAGCCAATGAATTCAGTGGGTGTCTGGAGAAGCCAATCTATTTGCTATAGATGAACCATTTCTTTTAGGTATGAACTGTGAAAGAATTATCCATGCCTTTGCTAACCCCAGAACAAAGCAACGTACAGTAGACAGCTTTGGCTCTTCCATGAACACACCTAGGAGCTGACAGCAATGATCAGAAGCTGGAAAAAGAACATTTATCAGTCAAACAAGTAAGCATATTGCATACACTGGTACCCCAACGTCAAAAATGGCTGTAGTTTCATCCTACAACCAGGTTCTTGCAAGTTATCACTTACCTTTATGGTTCAAGCATAAAGACCTGAAACACACATGTGCCTTCCTACAGATAGGGATGCTCTCTGTATTCACATGCAGATAGTGAAAGTGGGAGGTATTATCATGTTTTCTCACCCAAGCTGATTCAAAAGAACTGGAATTTATATGTACATGCCCTATAAGCCAAATCTAGTCGATTAACTGAGGCTTTCTGAGGAAGGGCAGGAAAATTGTTTGTTATTTAACCCTGTAGAGTTGGTGAAAGACCTACTCCACCCTCTTTCAAACCACCTGCTACTCATCATCTTATTCCTTGGTGTCCAAAACTTACTGTTCCTGAGAAACTATTTTTTTTTTCAGGCCAGAAAAAAACTATGAAAGTGTGAAAAAAAATTTTGAAAGTATCAAGGGGACTTAAATATACTTTTCAAAGCACCTGTATTTGTACAGCACATTTTATTATGAGGGAAAAATGGCAAGGTTATGTCTTTTACTTCAGAATTGAGGGGGTTTTGTGTTTTTAAAATTCATCAAAATTAAAACCTCTAGGTTTATCTGCGCTGGAACATGGAAAAAGCGGAACCATAATTTTCCTAAGCTGAATCAAAAATTGCATTTCCTCAAATCTGGCTGTAGTTCAGCATCTGGCTGCTTTTTGCCCCTAAGTCATCAAGGAGCTATCCTTTTCCAAAAAGGCTGAAGAGATATTTATTTCTTGCCTCTGTTCTTAAACTGCTGCCAGAATCGCCACCTTGGCAGAAACGCAAGAAGCAAAATCACCCTCTTGAGTCCAGGTAAGCCACCCACGGGTGTTCTGATCACGCTGCAGACTCCTAACCCGAACCCAGCAGCTATAAATACCAAACCTGGTAAGCACACACTCACCAATCTCTCTGGAGATCTGCGTGAACGCCTCCACGCCGCTCTCGCCATAGTTGCCTTCGGAAGCCAGCGTGGAGACGTAGTTCCACCCCAGGGCTGTCACGATGTCGACCATGGCCTGGGCTTGGTACGAGTCTGGCGGCACCACCCGGGAGAAGAAGTCGTACCTGGTGTTATCGCTCAGCTCGGGAGCTGTGGATGCATAGCTGATTTGAGGTATCTGCAAACAGAATGACAAGTCATGCAAGCCAATCTAATAACATTTTACACTACATCCTTGTACCTTTGAAAGGCTTGTAATAGATTATACACAGGCATTGTGCAGAACCAAATGTCTTGCTTTAATTAAATCAGCTGATCAGAAAGCGTCTCAGATTTTGTGTAATGTCAGTCAAGCTTTATTGCGTAACACTCTCACCAAGAAATAATGCATTCAGCTGTACTCCAGATGTCATGACTCTTGACATATAAACACAACTTCTTTTTTTATTCTGGCCCTAATAGAAACAAGTGAAGTAAAAAAATAAGGGGGGAGGAAAAAGGAAGAACTCGTAGCATTACTACAGAAAATGAAAAGGTCAGTTATGATGACTGCAATTCTTGAAATTTGACAAGTAAAACGTGGATGATTTCCATTTCTTTGTTTTATGTACAAGAAAATTTGTGTTCTCATTTTAGAACTGTTTTTCAAGCTTCCTCTGCCACAGATTTTCCTTTTCCAGTATTAATAGTTCATTGTGTGTGACTTAAGAATATGAAGGCAATTAAACAGCAAAAGCTATCTGATCTGATAAAAAAACACATCTAAAAATTGTATATGATATATATGCTTGTATACATACACAGAAATATATATACATATATATTCAGATACATATGATATCCATATACAGAAGGAAAAAGCTTACAAGGATGGTAAATTTTGTAGAAAACATCTCAACGTACTTAGTAGAAAGAAACCTAAATAACTGGAAAACATTTTAAAATACATTACTATTCTCTTAGGAAAAAAAAAAAAAAAAGAGTGGTTTTCTCTTAATTCTTGTCTTATACAGATGGTTCAGTAGTGTCCAGAAAAGACATTGTAAGCAATACTCACTTATTTTGAAGAATAATTTTGTTGCAAGAAAATTTAATTAACATTTATGCTCACTTAAAAAGAGGATTATTTTCTTATTATAAATGGTAAAACTGATTAAACAGTCATTAGCTTGAAATAAAAGATACTCCAAATATTGCATAGCATTGTGATCTATATTAATAAGAGGTGTTTAAGTCACGTCACAAAACATAAAACAGTCCTCAAGAAAGCAATCTGAATGGAGTTCCTAAGTTGATTTTGTTGAGAGCCAAACTGAGCAGCGTCAGGCAAGTGGTGTTCTGGTAAATGCTCTCTGTCACACTGGATGTCAGAGTAGAAGGCTGCAGTGCAGCTGTTATGTCCTGTTCAGTGCTTCCTCATCAGTACAAACTAAAAATCTTATCTGGGGCAAATGTAAGGAATTCAGAGTCTGGTCATTAACCAAACCTGCATAGACAGTAGAGATATATTTGCACAGCCTGAATAAACAGTTAATTGCCTAAGGCTTGGCACAATCATTTCTCAGTCAGAAACTAACAAAATAAACTCTTATGTATCTTGGCTGTATCCTTCTTTAACAAATTTTCTACACATGGAATTTCTGGAAACTCAGAACAAAATCTGAAATGTTGTTATAATAACAACTGAAGAGTACGGAAAAGAAAAAGAAAGAGAGGATCACAGAAAAAGTTAGAGCTTGTATTTCATGAAAATCAGTATTACTAAAAAGAAAAACTATATCAAGCAAAACTAAAGGATAAATTGTTCTTATAAAATTTGCCTTGAATAAATTCCCTTTCTTTCAGAAAGTGTTTGAAACATTTTTATCTCTTCACAACAAAATATTTTTGGCCTATAATAAGAGAATTATGCATATTTCCAGCACATATCATTACCTTTCCAACCTTGTTCTATTACTCTCTAAAAAAATGTAAAACAAGATGTAAAAACAATAAAGACAACCTTTGTGATTTTACTAATTTTGCTCCTTGGTGTTACATTTCTCAAATATTATGCCATTGTTCCTTTGCTGAAGGTTATTTCATCAATAATGTCAACACAACCAACGCCACTAAGAAATATTTAGACTGATACTCTGGCAGTGAAAATCCTGAAGCCTAGACTTACATTCCTTTACTCTCTCAGTTCATTTTTCTTCAGGCATGAGATGAAGAACAAACCCTAGATGTGTGTTTGTAGGAGAATTGTTGGTTCAACTGCAGCAATGAGATGCTTCAGATCAATAGAGATATTTTATGTACTACAAATATCACTTTTTTGGAGCCCTGGAAAATGCAGAGGAGAGCTGTTCCTTTCCTACTTTTCAGCTCTTTGCAGTTCAACTTCTTCCCTAGAGTTATTTCTGATAACAATGAAAATGAAAAGCAAATACAGCACAAACACAATACTCTGAAATCACTGGGCACACTGGTAAGCTTAACTCACCACTGTTTTATAACATCTGCCAGCTTTTCACTAGCAGCAAAGAACAATATGCCACATGAAAGTAGGGAGAAAGACACTCTCTAAATAGCAAGCCAACCTTAAGTTTGGAGAAAAAAAGCAGTTCTTGCAATTAAATATATAATTATTTTCCTCATTTCTTTTTGTATATGTTCCTCATGGTTATAAACAACACCCCTGTCAAGAATTTTCTCCCCAGAGTTGCATAACTCCCACCCAGAAATGCTTCATGGACTTCTTTTTCTGGAAGCAGTTTATGCAAAAGTAAACAGTAAATTCCTTTCTTGCCTGCTTTTAAATGTGCAATTTTATATAGGGGAGCTCTGTAAAATAGCTCTAAAATTTGAGAATTTGGTTTATGTTCCAGTTACATAGGAAGTAAAGAGACTTAGCAAGACTTAGCAAAGACGTTTTTTGGCATGAGGTCAAATTCTTTGGATTTAGTGGTTCAATAATCCATGAATGAAAAATATATACATTAAAATATAACAACTCTAGTTATGGACTGTAGGTTTAATAAAGCATTTTACATTTCCCCAAGTACATTTTACAAGATGGAGCATAGTGCTGCCTAAGCAAGGGAACTGTTATGCTCTATCAATTCAGTAATGTGTGTTTTTTAAACTCCCTAAATACAGACTGAATTCCTAGTTTAAGTTCCACTGGTCTCTTGAGACATAAATTTGCATTTTGAAAGAAACCTTTAAAGAATGAGAAATCTAGAATAAGAAATAAAACTTTATCTAATTTTTCAAAATTAAATACAATACCTGCAACATCTGCACTGTATTTAAGTGGCATATATTAGTATTAATGGTATATTACCTTCTCTTTTGGGGAAAAAAATTGATTATATAACCTCATTTGAATTGGTTCTTGCACAACATCTGTCACATTCACTGACAGTTGCTGAAAGCATTCATGTTTTACTGTTCATTGATATAATTTTTGTATTCTTTCCTGCCCTATGGTTTGGCCACTGTCTCACATTAACCTATAAGCTGCTGATAAGCTCAACTTCTAGTGGGTAACAGACTTGAAATCTTTGAAATTATCTTATAAGTTAATTCATAGAAGCCCTATTTTTATTATTTTTACACCTTAAGCTATCAACCTTAATGTTGAAAACAAAAAAGCTACTAGTGTGATGTTTTAAAACAATATCCAGTTTTAGTTTCATATTGGTCTTAACCCCAATACCTGCTGAAACTACTTATGATCTCTGTTTTTCAATCCAAGTCAGTGGTGGCTTCATTTCAACCTATTTTTCAGTCACTAGCATCAAAAAACTATTCAGCATGCTTAAAAATAAAACAATTTGGAGAAAAACAAACAAAACTAAACCCAAACACACACACCCCAAAAAAAATTATTGATAACTAAGCAGAACACCTAATCCTTGAAGATTAATTCAAGCCAAAATCAGCAGTCCAGAAGAGTCTGTTCTTCAGCGACCTATCTGTACATCTATATCTCCTAGCTGATTTCTCTAAACGTTTCCCCGTCCCAGAGGATTAGAGAAGCTGAAGCAGGTACTTTCAAGTGACCATCCACAAGCATGACTGTGGCAGCAGTTAAGGAAGAATGACATCAGCACAAGACCAGCACCGACCATTACTACAAATCAGACTTGTGCTCCCTCATGGAGGAAGTGTGGACAGCTTCAGGGGTGCCAAAGGCAGCTAATGGAACTTTACATTTATTTTAGCCAAGCAGTAAACTACTTTCAGCTCCTCACATACTGAAAACAAAAACCACCCACTACACTCCTGAATCCAGGACTATTCAAAGAGGAACATCCCTATGGATGGAGGTGTAGGGGTTCCAGTGTTGGGGTCCAAACCCCAGAACACAGAAAAGCTGCACTGAAGATGACAGAGGAAACAACAAGACCTAGTTGTGCCCTGCCAGAAGACTGTCTTCACCAAAGCAGGCAGATTTAACATGCTTTCTCTTGAATTACATGCTCTCCAAGTTTAAGGCAAAAGTTCACTACAACCCTTTTACTGAGCTTTCAAATCCATTTGCATGCTACATTTGACAACGTAAAGCATCAGCTGGCCATTTCGTATGCCATCTTCCTTTACGCAGTCTTCCAGCTGAAAGCATGATTTGGGAACAAAATAGCAGACAGTGAAATGAGCAAAGCTCATAATGAAAAAGACTTGAGAAAGGAATCACTATCAATTTTAAAAATTAGACATTATCAGTTTCACTCAGAGCAGTAGCTATGTTGTACAGTCACCAAGAGTAATGAGCTTAAATCACATCTTCAGTTTCACTACCCACTCAGTCCTATCATTACTAACTTTAACAGATCAACTAGCATTTTATTTTTCTTTTCCATTCTCTCATCACTGAGCGCTTTTTTTTAGGAATATTAGCAATAGCACATTAAAAATAGTAGTAATTACAACTGAAAAAAGTGAAGCCAATAAACTCTAAGTTAATGACTACTCAGTATCAGCTGGCATTTTACCACCAACTAATACAGCTAGGAAAGGAGTTAAAGTACTCGGAATAAAATTTGACTGTGGAAACATGTTTTCAACTTGATGATTTTTTGAATTTTAAATGTCTATCATTAATCATTAATGGCCCTGTCTCTTCAAGATTTTTATTCCCTCTTCTGTACAGCAAGAAAGAGTTCTTTTTGAGTCCAAAAATTCACAGCA